TGTCACTCGACAGATAGGAATAGCTCCGGTGATTGACTATGACTTGAAGGAGATGATGTCGTAGAAATCGAGGATGTCGCCAGAAGAAGCTGATGCAAGAAGCCCCGCTCTCGTCGCACCACTACTTTTATAGCATTGCTCCTAGCACGTTTACATACATAGCTGCCGATGCCGATGAGAGCCTTATGTTTTATCGGCGTTGACAAACGTTTACATACGCAACTGCCGTAAAGAGCCTCATCTGAAACATCTTGCTACGTTTGAATCTATCAAAATTCAACATTACACTGAATCATAACATTACATTTAGTCGGCGTTGACGACAAGCTGTTACAGCTTTTCTTTGCAAGGTTTTCTCGAAGTTTCTTGTTAGGTAATATACTTTTATAATAGATGGGGTGAAAACCTGTCATGTTGTGCTGAACTATACACATACATATACAAGGTTCGAGTGAAGATAATTTCTCACGTTGGCTGCCCTCCATAATCTTAACGCTACTGTAAAATGTGATCAAACTCATTTTGCAAGATTTCTATTTAACCCATTAAAATCACATGTTCCACAAACGTATGAGAGTGCGGGGAAACTAGCTCTGTAAAAAGAATATCTTTGTTGAGGGATCAAGCCGCTCATCTTAAGATCGTGCACCTCGAACGCCTTTGCTATCGACCATGTCAAAGTTGAAACTGATTCGACAAGTTCTCTGGTCAATTTCTACTACTTCTTACTCACATGTTCCTCCTTGATCTGTCACCTACCACCAATACTTTCTAACCAATCCTAGAGAAAGACCTATTTGACCTTTATGTCGTGACTCCTCTACGATCTTGAGCAAACATGCTCCCAGGTTAAGGATGCGAGAAAAACGGAACGCGGGCGTATTCCGAACTCCGCGCTACTGCTCGAAGTTTGCTCCCAGCTGGGAGCCCTTTAAAAGACAGATACGCTAGAAGGACCTCAGGTAGCCATAGTTCCCTCATCTGCGTTGACAGTCGATTCAGCTTCGGTTCGTCAACGCCTTTCGTATCGCCCAAGTTCTGGAATCACCATGTATGTATCCTTCAACGAGGAGCATTGTCTGGCTTGTCTTCTTCACAACATTTCGTGCTTAGTTATCTGATAGACGGGACCCCAACGTACATTATACAGGTTGTTACAGTATTGCATGTGTCATGTATGAAGATTTCGCTTCCATATATTTTACTCAGTATTACTCGGTATCACCATCTTAATTTACTCTGTTCCATTTGATCTCTAGTATGTAGGTCTTGTTGTATAACTTCAAGGTTTCTCTCCACTATCCAGTGCAGTGTATTAATTCATCTTCTTAAAACTTCGCCAGTCTTCTTCATTCTCTTTTAGGTTTCTTTTTAAGTCTAGAAGGATGGAAGCTCTACAAATGATCTTCAGGCTCGATGTATAACGCCTCCGAGCGACAGAGTATTCGCAGACGCATTTAACCTTCCCTCAAGTTCGGTGGGACATCAAGAATCCCATCTGCCGAATTCTTGGCCCCACTGCATAGTTTTTTTGAACAGAGTCGCTACCACGACAGCTGGAGACGGAGACGTGGATACATTTTGATAAGTACTATTAGGACTCAGTCAAAGCCTTTTCTCTTTTCTGTTGCAATCAGTGTGCTTTCACCCAATATCTGATGAACTAACTCTGGTTACAACTCTCTCCTAGGAGGGTTCTTTGAACAAAGTTCTGGGTACCGTTGTATTGACATCCTAATGTTGCCACCTGCTCCAGATGTTTCCCTGATGAAAAAATAAGATCATTCTGAATCAAAACATGATACGAATAAAAAATGAGGACATTCGATTTTACATCAATCATGGAAGAATTGCAGGATTCGTTGAAATGCGGGAATACTTAATGATTGCCCTTCTTTTTAGAATTGTCCGCAGCAAGTGCTTCAAACACCTGGGGTGGGTCAAGCTGGAAAATGGACAACTAAAATGTTCTTAGTTTCTCTGTTGAGCCTTTTTACACAGCTTTTTTACAGAGCCAATGACAGTAATACTGCTGTGAGAACGTCAGCAAAAGCTTTAAGTTTTTTACATACTCTTTAGGATAGAGTGGAAAGTTCCATGAGCTATGTACAAATTCTTTAACACAAAAGTCTATCAACTCCTTCAAAATATAGATTGTTTTTCTTATACATAGCTCCAAAGAATTCTGCAAAGCTAGGAGAAGTAATAGAGTTACAACCAATTCATTTAAGCATTGAAATTTTCGATGAATTTGATCAGAGGCATAAGAATCGAGGCAATAGAATCTAGGCAACAATCTTTTTCTTGGATGCCAGTGGAGTGCAATAAATATGTTCTCATTGTCGATATCACATAAATTTTCACAAATTCAGCCTCTTCCGTTTTCACAGAGTTATCTCCCCTAAAGCTACGACTGCTCCTTCGACACATTTATTCTGAAGTTAGCGGTTAAAGGAGATCTGGATGCTCGAAAGTTTTATCACCATAACCATTCTTGAAGACCTCCACCGTAAGGATCACAAACCGCCAATTCGTCTCGACCACCGGTTGAAATGGGTTAGAGAATGTCTTTTCGACGTTCCAAGGGAGTAAATTGAAGATTATGGGGAATCGCACGTTTCATCATGAAATTCCCTATCTATTGGGCTTTAAGGAAGGCCCTAGTCGTTTGACATTTCTTTGGCTTGCTTTTATTGCACATGAAAAGTAATCTACTCAATAATACACTCAATAGTCAATTACAACACCGAATAGGGGACTCTTTTCCTCTAGCAGAGAGTAGATTGGAAAGAACAAAAGAAAAATTGCTACCTGCTCTTTCGACATATTCAAATTTGGTAGATTCCCTCTAGCTAAGCAGGTCTTCGAAAACGAAAATAATGACAGACGAAGGAGAAAAACAATTGGGTTACTCTAAAATAGCCTGAGTGGGGAACATTCCAATTTTCATGGGTCTCTTGCCTAGCGTTATTACTGGGTTGGTAGGTAGGATCTTGTCGCTGTCTTTTTTATCGGACTCGGCCCGTTTCGCTGATTGTCTCCTAACACTGAGCTGATTGAAGTGATGCCCTGTTCATATGCGGTACTGACGTTGTCGTCATTTCAGTACGGCTACACCATTTATAGAAGGGAATGACTACAAAGAGGTGCTCTCGTGGATATGATATAGTGGTTAGAATTGGGAAGTGTCATTTGCCTGAATATTCGCTTTACATAGGAGAGGTCCTTCGATAATATTCCACAACCAGCCCTTTTATCATGGATGCCGATTTATTTATATTTAACGAGTTTTTGTCCTGAACGTTTGGGCTTTCGATATGACATCTTCTGTGTTTTCAGTGTGCCTGGTTGTTGTTGATTGAAGGCGCTTTTTTTGTTCTAGAATTTCGAAACGACTTGATTTTTTTTGATATCTCTAACTATTTGACGAGCTTCTGGTTGTAAAAACAATCAAAGCAAAACCCAAAAAGGCTATAATAGCTGATTCTCTTCTGCCTCTCAACCTTCAAGAATGTGCATTCAACAGATCCTGTATACAATGCATTTTCAGATAAATAAAAAGAGCAGTCATCAACAGATCAGTCGGAGTATTTACATCACAAAGTCTACAAACACTAGTTATCACCTATAGGATTCACATTTCAACAACTATGTCANCATATTGTTTGCTTTTTCTTGGAAACATAGAATACGCTGCTAGTTGGGGATGATTCATACTTGAAGCGTATGACCTTCCTCAGTAAAAATGTCCTATAGTCACGAACAAAATACAGTACTATTAAAGGATTGGTGGCAGGACTCCAAGCAAATAAAAATGGCAGAAAGTCTGAGATTATACCGGTATCCAAATCCATCAATGGCATCAATATACAAATATAGAACGGTACGTGAATGAAGAAAAACGGAACGGTAGACTGAAAGCAGTGGTATTAGAAAAGTTGATTGATCAGGCGAGCGGAGCAAGGCATTATTGAAACTCGTTGCAAAAATTAGGCAGCTCTCATACTCGTAAACTCGCTTTCAACTGCGCCATTCTAATCGATGGGGCCTCCCCTTCGATGCTTTCTCCATTTACTTTATCTTATAGTTCAGAACTAGAAGCTCAGAAGAATGCAGGGTCGAGCTGGCGCTGTAGGTTCAATAAACTGAAACACGAGATACGATATACGAGCTGCAACGGACTTTCAATTTTTCTCGTCGTTCGCAGACCCAAGCAGATATATTCTTTTATAGAACAAAGAATTTCGTCCCTGAGTTCGACAATCATGATGATTTTTGGCGGGATAGTGTAGTGGCAAGTGGCACACTATCCTACACGCATGGCCACGACCCAAGCATACCAAACATTTATTCCAATTGAAATCATTGAAGGCCCAGTTTATGATAAAAATGGTTTTCGAAATTTCCCCATAGGGTGAATTTGAGGCTCCTCGTAAACCATATCTGGCGCTATCAGGTCGGAAAAGGGTATGGTTAGAGCGGCTCAAAGATTGCACCATATGTATGCGTGGACCAGTTTCAACGGAATTGTAGAAGCTACACCATTCACAGGGAAGCTATGTTGGAAGTTCAAACAACTTGTCATGACCCCCAGCGTCAGTGAATGGCAATTCCGGACAGTTTTGGCCTGATGTTGCCAGCTCTTTGCGCTACTGCAACTACTGAAATCTCGTCCAAACACCCCTTCAATGTCATTTTTCTCATGGTAATCTCGTCTAACTTCTACTATCTCTTCCTTTGAAGAGCCTTATTTTTTTAAAATCGGCGAATTCTCTCGCTTGCTTCCTTAGCGATGAACTATTCCCACTCTACATCCTCGCTTTTTGACTGAGAAGGGGTACTTTAAAATTATTGTGGACTGTGCCTTCAATAGGTAACAATTTCGTCTGACACTGACTTGCAAATCAGCTGACCGCCGCAATATACATATTGTATAGGCCACATACGCACTCAAACTGCTAACACGATACTGACGCAAAAGCACGTGAGTAAACTCATTCCAGAAGCGGGATTGATTGATGTAAAAATACTTCCGATTTTATGATTTTTTTTTTGGAGATTTGTCCCACCTGCGCAATAAGTGTGCGACAAAGTTGCACTTGAAGATTCCGTGTCTTCCTGTCGGTAGCATGTTTTGCAGCATCCATTATTGCTTTCGTACAAAATACCATCCACCCAAGACCAACGACCATAACAACAACCAAATAAATTGTAGCCATCATCAGTACTATGCTTTGGGCACGATCGTAACTTGTAGCATATTTCTGGAACACTCATATTCAATCGGACACGCTTTTCGACTTGAGGTGCAGTCACACTTAAGTCAGTTACATGAAACGAAGCCACCAAGTAAGGTGAATTCCAGTCGACGTTGATGTGCGAAGCAATGCCATCAAACAACTTTCTGTCCGATTTAGTGGGCCAGGCAGCGAAGGATATCATAGCACAGCATGAAGACGATATTACCAAAGGTATAATCAATAGGAATTGTAGGCGATTATAGTACATTGACAAGAAGTGTGACCTATAAATCAAGTTTTCAGAACCGACTTGGTGGTTCTTTTCACTCTCGAAATGAATTGTTTTGAATTAAGAAATCATATTCTGGTGTTTAACGAAATTTAGGAATTTCCGATTCTTCACATGGCCTAGAAATCGAGTATGTGATACTATTCCGTCCAGAGCATCATGGTCATCCCATCTGAAACCGCTGTTTGACGTCAAGCCTTCTTTTGCAGACGAAAACCTCTATAAACTGATGAACTGCCGTAAGCTATCGTTAGGGCCAAGCTCATCAATAATAACTAACCCATTAATAAGACTCAGGTGTGTGACTGAAATAGATATGACGATAGACCAACTGTTTGCCCAATCGAGCTTATTTCATGACCGTTTACGCTACCGACAACATGTACGGCTAGGATTATTTCGTTCATTTTTCAAAGCTCACTGAGACAGTACCGAAAATCCTGAGAGGGAACCAAATGAAGTTTGTTTTACAAAAGGTGGTCACTTATTCAGTCACTTTTCATTGCCCAGCCACTTTCCATTGCCCCAACATGGCCCTTGATATCAGGATCACCTTCCACCGAAAGGTGACTGATGGAATATTCTTGGAGAAGAGAAATAGCAGTGGCGATAAACAGAATTTCTCATTTCGTGACGCCACAATCTCCGGAGAGACAACGAACTAAATTTCTTTGAGCAGCTCAGCTGTTGAGGAGGCGGTCCGCTCCGGAATTGATTTCTCTGAGCAGTTTCTGATGGAACTATTACACTTTAGAGCACTCATGTATTGGAAGAAAAGCAGCAAATTGGGAGTCACCTTCATCTTTCCGTCTCCTTGGAACATGATGCTATGTCTTTGGTGTTGTAACAATCACAATTATAAGGAAGTGATCATAGTGATCATTTTGTAAAGGAGGTTATCTCGAAAGTTTACAGAATAGCAATGCACTTCAGCGCTTAGCCCTTTCTAAGCCGAATTATTGAGAGCGTCCGTGTGATCAAAAATAGATCTTCCATTACTGTCGACCATGTTGTTTAACTTACAAACAGGCAAGCTGTCCGAATCAAACTGAAAAACCGATTCAAGCAAGCGAGGCTTCTGTCGCGCCGTCGGTGACGTCCCGCTGAGGCCATTCCGCATCGGTGATTGCTCTGCGGGGCGCTCCCGGCGGCATGAGCTAGGTGACCGGGGTTTTCTGCCAGGTCGCCATGCTCGTATTCAACTGCCATACGGACTTGGTAGACTTGAGGCTACCCCAGTCTCCCTTGTGAGCTCCTACGGTGGTTGGTACTGCCTTCGCAGTACGCTACGGGGTTGCTAGCCCAGCGCCGAACTCCTCTGGACGCTGGGCGCACAGTTCAACCATGGCCTATGTACCACTCCCCGAGCTCAATAGAATGGTTGCGATATAATGGATGTTGCCAACATTCCACGCACTGATAGCACACGTTGTAAAGTACACTTCCTATACTAAACTACGTAAGATATGAAAAGTAGAGTAAATACGAGTAAATGTAAAGATTGCAACACAAAAGGTACTATGAAAAAGTTTATGAAAAAATACACATAATTACAACCATACTCAACCTACGGATTGGGTACGATCCTAGCTGATCCTCAACCGGGCTCATCCAAGTCATCACACCTCCTTTCGGCAGTGCTGCTCCAAGGTCCACTAGTTGCTGTAGACCATCCATCCAGGTGTTTCCAGCTTGCTCCATACTACGCAGCGCAGCACCACTCGACGATGACAATAATGTGGTGCTACGAACCATCAGAGGCTGCGTCGGTGATGTTGACGTCGAATTGCCTCAGGAGATGTCGAAGGCAGGCGGCTGCGACGTTGACGACGTCTGATGATGCGAGCGTCGCATAGGGCTAGAGTCCACTACCACGTGGTAAACTCTAGCTTCCTGCAGCTTGCGGTACCTTTCCAGCGCTACTGCGGGCGCGCCACGCCAGGCCGTCCTTTAAGTCGTCCGAACGGCACGACAGCTTCAGCTACAATCCACTTGCTTGTGAATATATTTAGCACATGCTACCAGTTATGTGCGATTCATTGCTATCGACTGTGATATAAAGGATTTCTTTGAGGTTATTCCGCTGTGTTTTGAACACATTTTTCCCATACAATGAGCTTCTAAACAACTACCTGCATATTTGAAGATATCGGAATGAGAACAGGCACGGAGGCGTCACAATGGTTTGACAGAGGAGGAACATGAAGCCTATCAACATAATTCTTCCCAGCTTTGCTGGAATAAAGCGAAAACCACCCATCACAATCAGCAAAGAAGATAACAAATCCACGGAAGCGAATGTCTGAAAAAGTCAGCTATACCGTCACATAAATGTATTTCCTATCATTCGTTGCCCCATGGAAAACTGCAAACTGAGGCTGATTAAAGAGATAGAAGAGCATACAGGACTAGCACACATATCGACCATGCTGAACAGAAGGTCAAGGGTTGCTGTGGCGAGCATCATATATTTGTAGGCACCAACGACTTTCAACGAGCGTGAACAGATCGTAAAAAGTAATAGTGAATTGAGAAAAATAGATATCGTCCCAACGATAACTGAATGCCATGTCGAGATTTCACCCACGGTGACCATCTGAAATGGTACACTTGAGCTTATTCGTTCCTTATTTTAAGGAAGGAACTTAGGAAATTCGTCAGGTATGTAAAGGAGAAAAGAGAAAATTCTTAGGAACTGGGAGGTTATGCGAGAATTACGGCGAAGTTCTGAAAAAAAACCAAATCCAAAGCTTTATGAGCTCAAGCCTTTTTGCTAGGTGACAGAACAGAGAGAAATAAGAACAGCGTGAAAAAGAAAACGTGATTACCAGCCTGTATTACTGAATAATGCTCTTACATAATCCTCCACTTCAATAAATGCCGTATTTTCTTACAGGGTTTTTGCCTTCACATTCTCAATGATGTGCCTAACCCTATAGTGGCTTTAGAGACACATTACCGAGAACATTTCTATGCGTTCGCATGCCAAGGAATCTGCACTACGTAAGAACCAGTATGAAACTTCGTTGATGGTGGCCCGGTAGAGTTACAAACTTGACAACAGTATACAGACTAATCACTGTCGTCTTACACGATTGCCACAGAAAGTAATTTCCTATCAAGTGTATTTTCAGCTGTAGAGAAAAAGAAATTATAATTGAGCAAACTATAGCAACCACATTGAAGGACTTCAAATTTACTCATATTCCCGGATTCCTCCAATCTTTATGCTTTTTGCTATTAGGTTGTTCACATTGGAGTTTTTTCATGCTGATATAACACTGAATTCAGTTTTTCAATCTTTACAGGACGTCTCTAGTCATAGCAAAAGTCATACATGTCTCAGATGCCATCTTGTAGATTATGATGAGAGGACTTGGGTAAGATGTTCGGCCTAAAACTTCTTTAGGAAAGGGTTCGAAAAAAGATATGAAAAACAATGGTTCGCGTTTTCCGAGCACATTCGGCATTCAGCACTCTTCGCAGTTGTTAATTCGAGTGTTTCGTGTAGATGATGAACTTCGTCAAGTTCTCAATTAACTGATTTGCTATTTCGGAATTGGGCGGAATCCTCTATTTGGTTTGATCAAAGGTTCCTGAAATATCATCGAGGGCTACAAAGAAGTACGTCGCCAACTTCGAATGGAGAAGAGGCTGTAATCGAACTACTGGTGCAGTAGACAGTACACAACTCATGCTGAAATCGGAGAGCACTTCGCGTGTAATGAATCTAGGACATTCCACGAACTCTGCTGTGTAAGCCAAGACGATCAGTGATGATGTTGAATCCGCTTGAATCACCATATGGTCCCTACATGAGTTGATGATATTATCATTTTTTGTTCATCTAATTTTTTAGCTTCAAGTTCAATGAAGAAACAGCTTGAGAGGCAAAGAGGGATGCGAGACACTAAGGAAAGAAACGTCAATAAGTATTGCGGTATCTAATAATAATTCGTCTCAGCAGTAGCTTAGGAGTAGGGGAGCCCTTACCGATGATTAGTATCAATGACATACAGGATACAAGTATCATTCAATCACGTTTAAAGTGATTGCAGCAGTGCAAAAACAACAGTCAAAGGGCTCAAAATTACATTTACGTACATAAAGCGCCCTTTTATTAATGGCTCCAATCCAATGAAAACTTGTAATAAATTTCTGAAGACATATTAGTCATTGAGTAAGATATGTTAGCCGATTACCATTATCAATGTTCGTTAACGACTACTTTGTAGTAACATTTGATAGGGCAAAATAAATGTGTGTACGATGTTTTCTTTGATGTTTCTAGAATCACATTATTACTATACTATCAAAAATGAAAAGTGAAAAATAAAAATGTGATTACCAGCAATGCTTACACAGTTTTCTGTTCTAGTGGTGTTACGTACAATTATTATTACGATTTTCATGCTGTAAATGATCTTCTGTACTCAAAGACGCAGTTCGCGATAATTTCAGGTTACCTTATTCTAGACGAGTAACCGAAGTGATACTTCTATGTAAAGTAAAAGTAGCAAAAAACTGCGGACACCGGCGTATTCAAAAAGCAAGAAAGAGAAGCATAAGGCTTCAAAAAAGGAGTTAGATTAGGGGTTGGACGAGAATTTGACGACAAAAGTTGCTTAAAAGGGGTATCTGGACGTGCTGTCCCAATGTGCGTGCCATTGACTACAGCTGGCTACAGTAGCTCTCTGCAAGCGGCATTCGAGAATGGTGCAACCTCTACGGTTTTCACAAGGCCGTGAGAACTCGCGCCGGTTTTGGGGTCCTTATTGCACTCTCTCTAGATGACAGCGACCTGACAGCGTCCCTTTTGTTATCTCTAGGGGTCACATCCTAAGGGGATATCTCAGAAACCATCTTCATCATGAACTATGCCTTCTACTGAGCACTTTTAAAATCACAAGTTTTGATACCGTTTACTTCTACTTTAAGAAGTCGCAACTTAACAGAAGGCACTTGATATTGAAGTACCCGCTTCTAGCAATTCCCTTAAAAATGTCTCCCGCAACTCACTTCCCAGCCCACTTCAATCCTGACGCAAAATTTTCAAGACTTCTGTTCAAAACACATACAAAAGATGGTTAACGATATTTTCGTAGCACGTTATTTCAGCGTTCCCCTGCAAGAAGCATATGGGATGCGATGGACTTTCAACGGCCTCCTCGTACAGCAGTACTTTGTTACGCTAGTTAAGAAACGTCGACTTCGACTTGAGCCACTGATCATGATCTGGTCGATTTGTCGAAGTGGGCGAGCAACAACAGGACGAGGCCTGCGTTCCCTGAAACAATGCTCACCCGCATCTTGCGAGGAGACGTCTCGAGCACTACAGAGCTTAGGATAGCAAGTTTTCCCCCACCATCGTGTTCATCAAATTCAGCACAAAACGACTACTATCTGTTTCTGTCGCTATTAAGTCACTTGAAACGCAGGCAGTGAAGTATCCGAAACCAATTTAAAGGTTGTCCTGGGAAGTTTTGCCCTACGAAAACCTAGAATTCCTACGGAGCGAAATCTACTGAATATCAGACAAATGAAGAACCGCACTCGACATTGGTTGTGTATATACAGTAGCGCTCAAAAGTCTTCGGTCAAACGCTTTGACACTTTTTCGTTCATAACTTTTCTCTCAGTAGACCAAATCGCGTGAATTTTGAATATGTTTAACTAGAGCATTTCTCACCCTACCCAACACCATTCGACTGCAAACAGCAGTATCCACATGAGCAATATTTGTTGCGGCAGTAGATTTTGCTAAAAGCAAGGTTATTCGGACCTTATGTACGTTTTTCTCCTCTGCTAAGTTTGGCATTAGCGCTCGTACACTTTAGACATGGCAAAAAGGAAAGAGACTCTGGAAGGGTCATCATCTGCATTTTCAGTCGATTTTGAGTGAGCTCAAGCTCTTTAAGATCCAGTAGGAAAGAAGTTACGACTAGAAAGTATGACTGAGGTAGCGTTTGACCGAAAACTTTTTAGCGCTACTGTATGTATGCACATGTGGAATGCTCATTGAGAGAAAAATCTAATTTTTCCTTGTGAAATGGGGAGACAATTTTTCTACAACTCAATATGTATATGCATAATGAGACAAAAAATATGTCGAAATAAAGTGAATTTCTTTGTCAACCGGATATATCCGAAGAAAGTTCAAATCTTCCGACCCGTAAATTAAAGTATCTTCTCATGCCTAGGATTATAGCAGAGAGCAATTCCAAGAAAAATCGTGAACTAAGATTATGTACGATGTCTACCAAAAAGTCACATAAATCGCACTTACCCAGCCAATTTGATGGTCCATTCTTTCGAGTTTGAAAAGTGTGAGGAAATATTAGAAATCCTAGCCAAGTCATGAGATGGGTTTTTATGTAGGATTGTTAAATGTTTCAATTACTATGAGTTCAGTCGGAATCAATCCTCTACACCCAATAAACTCAAATTCTGACAGGTGCAGCGTCAATTCATAGAACGAGAACTCAACTAATCTGTAATTTTTCATTAAGGAAATTTTCCTCTGATTATCATCTGGTATAACAGAATTTTAAAAATAGTTCATTCTCGAAGCTCAGTTACTAATCTACTAATTTTAAATTTTTTATTTTACCTCAATTGAGTTAATTTCGATCTGGAAGGACAACGTAATCTCTTTGCTTCAGTTTCACTCATGCATTAAGAAACTAACGGACTGGCTCAGTGTTCCGGAATCCCCACGAAGATGCCCTCTCTACTTATACTTCATTTGTAACCGTAATTGATTGTGAAACCGCAGGCTAGTAAATAACCCTTAAAGTGCTCGTTTAAATTGAACAGTTCCGGAAAGATAAGAGCTTTGTCAGTGTGAGAGATCCCGAGCAAACTTACTCAATTTATTGTTTACAATATTTCCTAAGTTAGCTCACTATTCCAGGGTTCAACTTTCCAGGAGTGCCACGAAAATATTGCTCTTCTAGTCCAACCAAACGTTCCCTGCCTAGGCATATACTGGGTGCGCCATAAATATGGTAACAACTTTTCGGACGTCCGTAATTTCCTT